GAAGTCATCCAGGCGTGATGAATGGTAACCAACGTCTGGTTGACAATTCAAAGGGCGCCACCTGGTGTTGAGATGACACAACTGTTGTACTCTATGATTAAACAGCAAATACAGAACATACAAAACAGTTGATGCGCTACAGCAAAGATATTGATATATTTTGTGAAATGGCTATATGACTGACACATGATTATGGCAGCCGCCAGATAATTAAGTGACACGGCCGCCAGATAATTAAGTGGCACGGCCGCCAGATAATTAAGTGGCACAGCCGCCAGATACTTAAGTGGCGGCTGCACCTGCCGCATAATTATCCGGCGGCCGCCACTTAACTTAAGGACCTCCGAAATTCACTGGTACTGGTCGAACTAAAACAGACTTCCATAGCATTGCGCGCCATTTGACTATTGCACTGCGCCACTTGTAATTTGTCCTTTTGGCGTTCCATATTTGTGGAGGTGGGTGCGCAGTTATACCATGGAGGAATTCGTTTAAACTAATTCTCTCTGTGTGGTTAAAAAATCAAGTCTGAGATCATGCGAGATGTAATTAATCGCGCTAATGCACTTTCGCACCTAACTTTTAACTCTGAATTTTGTTACTTCAATGTTCTTCTCACAGTCACAACACATAATTATAAAAGATACCTTTATAAATTTATAGAGGTTTATACAGCGTTTCCGCGCTTGCTAGCACGTCGAGCTGTGCATTTTTTTTTTTTTTTTGGCTTTTTGCGAAAGTGTTAGCCGCCCCAGTTACCTGCATACACTTGGTAGCCGATGCCATCAAGAGCCTTTGCCAGTTGGTTACCGAAACCCGTGTCACAGCCTGTGATTAAAACAGCTTTCCCTGCAGCATCAACGTAGCCTCGTCTAAATAATGCTGTGTAGAAATACACTGTTATTAACAGCATTAAAAAAATCAGTGCAATTTCAAAAAACATGTCAATGAAGCCAAGCAGAAAGACGATTTTGTTTGAGTAGGCATACAATACAATATGCAGGGGGGCGTCGAGCGGGGTGAATAATCAGAGCCATATCAAAGAGTATAAATATTTATACTCTTTGATAATAGTGATAATAGCAACGATTTCTACCGCCACCAAAAAGGTTATGTATTCACCATAGAGGCTGTCTCTTATACACATCTAGATGTGTATAAGAGACAGCCTACTACTAGCTACTATGCATAGGGCCAGGTACTTAGGCATAGGGCTAGGGCCTAGCTAGGCATAAAAGTTTACCTTTTCTCTTTCAAAATTCGGAAGAAGGTGAATCAAGTCCACTTTTTTCAAGGCATCTTCAATACTAATTAATAGACTTGGCCATTGTCTTTCCTCGCTTGTCAACAATCGACGGCACGAAGAAAGGGAGAGTTCCACTAGGCTCGTTCCCACAGCCGTTGATTTTTTTCCACTTTACCCGATGTCAAAGGTCATGAAAGCACCGAATGATAAAAGAACCGTACGTAATGATGAAAGAGCCGAAAGCTAAAACTAAAAAGCACCAAATGATAAAAGATCCGTAAGTGCGGCAAAAGCACCGAACGTAATGATAAAAGCACCGAACGTAATGTTTCAAAGCACCGAATGTAATGTTAATAAAAGCACCGAGCGTAATGTAAAAAGCACCGAACGTAATGTAAAAAGCACCGAACGTCATGTAAAAAGCACCGAACGTCATGTAAAAGCACCGAACGTAATGTTCAAAGCACCGAACGTAATGTAAAAAGCACCGAACGTAGGCCTAATGTAAAAAGCACCGAACGTAATGTAAAAGCACCGAACGTAATGTTAAAAGGGCCGAATAACAAATGCGCCGAACAGAAAAGAGCCACCAAAGGCAGTAACGGCGTTCCATAAAATTGAGGGCGGAATTGAAAATGATAGTGCTCAGGGGAAATTTGATTGGCTGAATCTATGGCAGCCATCTTGGATGGTACACACACACAGCTCTGCGTATTTCGAACATCGAATACATTGCTGTTAGCGCTCTAGTATTCTTATTATATCTCTATGGCTACCATTGATCTCAATTTCTAACATAATTATTAAGATGTTGTATCTTAGTTTTTCTTTATAGATTTTAATTAATGATTGGAAATGCGTGTTTGATAACTAATATAATGTGGTCTTTTGTGTTTTTAGTACATTTTGATGGTAGATTATTAAAGCCCCATTCCCGGCAAAATTTCAATTTTAAAAAAAAATCTAATTTTTGTATAATGTTATAAAGATTTATAAATATAATACGGAATTGCTAGTTTAACTGAATTTAGACATTCCTAAGAATGA